GAAAAGAAAAGAAAAAAACAAAAAACAAAACTGATGTACATGTCTTATTGCAAAACAGAACCCCAAGTCTAAAAGTAAAATAAGCCAAGGGTAGTTACAATACTGATTAAAAAGAGTATATCCTGAGGCAGTTGTTAGTATATCACTCTCTATTATATGCACAATAACCTCAGATAGGTAAAATATCTGAGCATTTTGCAAGGTAAACCTCCAAAGTTATACCACAATGTGCCCTTTTCTTTGCTGTTTCTTCTTTGCCTCTTTCTACAGCTGCCAGTGAACACTCAGGAACTGCTTTGTGTGCCAGGGTCTCCAAGACTACCTCCAGGTTCCATGATTTGCTAGAATTCACAAGACTCAGCATATCATCACACAGGCATGATTTATTACAGCAAAAGCATATGAAGCAAAACAGCAAAGAGAAGAGGTACAGAGGCAAAGTCTTGGGGAAACCAGGTATAAGTTCCCAGAGTCCCCTAACAGTGGAGTCACACATATGTGTTGTTTCATTCCACCAGCAACTGAATTGTGACAACATGTGAGAAATGTTGTTTACCAGGGAAGCTTGTTAGAGATACAGTGCCCGGGGTTTTTACTGGGGGCTGGTCACGTAGGTACCTTCTACCTACCATGTACCAAAATTCTAGACTCCCAGGAAGAAAGCAGGTGTTCAGCACACACCACATTGTACAAACAGGTTAGTTACCATGAACCACTCTTTTCAGTGAGTGCAGCCCTCCTGTTAAGGTTTAAATATGTCCCCCAAGTTCAAGTGTTGGAAGTTTAATTGACATTGTAAAAGTGTTATGAGACCTTTAACAAGTGATTAGGTAAGGAAGGCTTTGCTCTCATTAGTGAATTAGTGCTGCTATCTCCGGAGTGGGCTCATGATAAAAGGCTAAGTTTAGACCTATATATCTTTCTCATGCTCACTTGCCATGTGACGCCTTCTGCCATGGCAAGACCCTCGCTACATGCTGGCGCCATGTTCTTGGACTGCCTAGCCTCCACACCCATCAACCAAATAAACTTCTATTCATTATAAAGTAGTTTGTGTAATTCTGTTATGACAGCAGAACAGACCAAGACACCTGATATCTAAGTTCCCAGATGCAACAGCCAAGGACGAACTTTATCATCAGGCCTTTCAAAGGATAAGTCAGGCTGGCTATGTTACTCTTTTCTGCATACTTAGTGACATTCCCATAGGAATAATCACCATAGACATTTTCAGATTCAAGAAGACTCTTCTAATTCAGAAACACCTTTTTTTTTCGAAGACAAGAGTCTTGCTCTGTTGCCCAGGCTGGAGTGTGGTGGCACGATCTGGGTGCACTGCAACCTCTGTCTCCTGGGCTCAAGTGATTCTCCTGCCTCAGCCTCCTGAGTAGCTGGGATTACAGGCGCATGCCACCATGCCTGGCGAATTTTTTTTTTTTTTTTTGGAGATGGAGTCTTGCTCTGTCGCCCAGGCTGGAGTGCAGTGGCACAATCTCGGCTTACTGTAACCTCTGCCTCCTGGGTTCAAGCGATTCTTCTGCCTCAGCCTCCCAAGTGGCTGGGATTACAGGCATCCACCACCATGCCTGGCTAATTTTTTATATTTCTACTAGAGACAGGGTTTCACCATGTTGTCCAGGCTGGTCTCAAACTCCTGACCTCAGGTGATCCACCCACCTGGGTTGGCCTCCCAAAGTGCTGGGATTACAGGCGTGAGCCACTGCGCCCAGCCTAATTTTTGTATTTTTTGTAGAGACAGTTGTTTCGCCATGGTGGCCAGGCTGGTCTTGAACTCCTGACCTCATGATCTGCCCACCTGGGCCTCCCAAAGTACAGGCATGAGCCACCGTGCTTGGCCAGAAACACACTTTTTTTTTTGAAACGTGTGGTCCAGGCTGTAGCACAGTGGTGTGATCATGGCTTATTGCAACCATGACCTCCCAGGCTTAGGTGATCCTCTTACCTCAGCCTCCTGAATAGCTGGGACTACAGGCATGCACCACCATGGTCGGCTAATTTTTTGTATATTTTGTAGATACGGGCTTTCACCATGTTACCCAGGCTGGTCTTGAACTCCTGGGTTTAAGCGATCTGCCCGCCTCAGCCTCCCTAAGTGTTAGGACTACAGGTGTGAGCCACCACACCAGACCATAAACACACATTTTTTAAAAAAGAGAATTTTCTGCCTGAGAAATGGTTAATTCACTTATGTTAATAAATTGTCATGGCTATTTTTTATCTTCTCTAGTTTTACTGAAAGGTAGAATAAAAATACACGAAAAACAAAGGAAAAGTCAGTTTGGTCTTAATGAACCTGAGATCTTGATACTCCAACATAAAGCAGGTTCTTTCAGTATTACTAGCAGCAAAGACTATTAATACCCATGTTACAGTCAACTAGAAATAGACTTCATATGACTACACATAATTAAGCAAAAATAAAGTTGATGACTACTTGGCATTAGTAGTTTGGACATGAACTTTAGAAGTAAAAGGTAAAGGAGGCATTGTAATATCATGTTTATAAAGATAACTTTCTTCAGCTAATATTTTGGGGATACAAGACGAAACTTCATTTTGTTGTTTACGCCACTTGAGTATATTCTCTGCCAGTTCTTCTGTCTCAGTCACCAATATATCCATCTTTGCTAAAGCCTGGTTCTGTAACATTTGAAAAGGGAAACAGGAGAAATTATATCTCTTATTAATTCATTATATCATGAATAATTGATACCAAAGGTTAACACCTGATCTTTTTCCAGCCCCTTACTTCAAAAGTTCCTTAAAACTATGCCTTCCCACTTTATAGTACCAACCTACTCTTTGTGAGTTCACCTCTTTTGTCTTCAATAATCACTCAATGCAGATGACCCTCAATTTATATTGCTAAACCTAACCCCCTTCCTAAAATTCAGGCCCACATTTAAGACTATTGGTAATCTCTATCTGGATGTGCCTTCAATATCTCAAACTCAGTTTAACTACAGTTCAACAGTGATTGACTATTTACTACATGTGCAAGATGTGTCAAAAAACAAACTAACTTCTTTAACCCACACTTGATCCTACTCACCTTCAAGTCACCCAGACTAGAAACTTCATTATCTTTGATGTGTCCCTTGTCTAATTCATAGCCAAGTTCTAAAAATTTGACCTCCAAAATCTAAAAACATTATCTTCTGTATTTCTACGCTTTACATCTTTTATCTGAATGACTGTAAATTAGTCTCCAGGTTTTTCTGCCTTTGGTTTCTCTGCCTAGTCTTCTAACCCAGAGCTGATCAAACTTTTTTTTTTGAGACGGGGTCTCTTTCTGTCGCTAGGCTGGAGTGCAGTGTCACGATCTCGGCTCACTGCAACCTGCCTCCCAGGTTCAAGCGATTCTCTTGCCTCGGCCCCTCAAGTAGCTGGGACTACAGGCGTGCGCCACCACACCATGTTAATTTTTGTATTTTTAGTAGAGATGGGGTTTCACCATGTTGGCCAGGATGGTCTCGATCTCCTGACCTTGTGATTTGCCCGCCTCAGCCTCCCAAAGTGCTGGGATTACAGGCGTGAGCCACTGCGCCTGGCCTGAGCTGATCGAACTTTAATGTGCACAGGAATCACCCGAGGAACTTGTTAAAATAAAGGATTCTGATTCTGAAGGTCTAGGGTGCATGATGTCTGTAGTTTTGTATTTAAAACAAGCTTCCAAGTGATGCTGATACTCTCTGCCCATACTTAGGAGTAGCAAGGCTCAGTCTGCTCTATCCAATATTTTCTCCATGATTAAGGCACAGTTCTAATCAAGTCACTCCTCTGCACCCTTCACTAAAAAAAGAAAACACACGCACACACAGACACACACACATACACACACACATATCCAATGGCTCCCCAATACTCAGACAGTAAAGTCTAAGATTCTTAGTCTGGTTTTTAAGGCACTGCATAAACTAACCCTAAGCTAATCTCCTCAATACCTTTAGGCACCAGCCAAAGTGGAGTATCACTTTTCCCCCATACTTAAATTTCACCTATTCCTTAAGATTCAGCTTACTTTGGCAAGCGCAGTGGCTCAGGCTTTTAATCCCAACACTTTGGGAGGCCGAGGTAGGTGGATCACCTGAGGTCAGGAGTTGGAGACCAGCCTGGTTGACATGGCGAAACCCCATCTCTACTAAAAATACAAACTATTAGCAGGGCGTGGTGGTGGGCGCCTGTAATCCCAGCTACTTGGGAGGCTGAGGCAGGAGAATCGCTTGAACCCAAGAGGCAGAGGTTGCAGTGAGCTGAGATTATGCCATTGCACTCCAGCCTGGGTAACAAGAGTGAAACACCAACTCAGAAAAAAAAAAAAGATTCGGCTTACTGCTAACACCTAACTAAATCTTTACTGAAGCCGGACGTGGTGGCTCATGCCTGTGATCTCAGCACTTTGAGAGGCTGAGGCAGGTGCCTCACTTGAGCTTAGGAGTTCAAGCCCAGCCTAGGCAACATAGTGAGAACTCGTCTCTATTTAAAAAACAAAACAAAAACTTAATTGAAGTCTTCCTACCCCTATCCTACTCAGAATCCTCCTAGACTGGAAGTAATTCCTCCCTTTTCTATGCTCAATAGATGGCATCTCTTTATAATTCTCTGCTGCATCGATTATGCAAATACAATCCTATAAAGTAGAAAATACATATTTTATAGCTGTCTCACCAAACATTGAGAATTTGAAGGCAGGGTTTGGTCATGTCTATCTTTCACGATACATGTAGCATAGCCACAGCACAATGAAGGCAACACATGTTTATTAAATGTTGGAATAAAAGAATTTAAAATGGCTTCTAGAGAAAAATTATATGAAAAAGAAAATGTTAAATCCAAGGTCTAAATAAACACTTCTTTTTTTTTTTTTTTTTGGAAATGGAGTCTTGCTCTGTTGCCTAGGATGGAGTGCAGTGGCACGATCTCGGCTCACTACAACCTCTGCCTCCCAGTTTCAAGCAATTCTCCTGCCTCAGCCTCCTGGGTAGCTGGAATTACAGGCGTGCACCACCATGCCCAGCTAATTTTTGTATTTTCAGTAGAGATGGAGTTTCACCAGGCCAGGCTGGTCTCCAACTCCTGATTTCAAGTAATCCAACTGCCACGGCCTCCCAAAGTGCAGGGATTACAGGTGTGAGCCACCTGCCTGGCCAAGAAAACACTTCTTGATTTAAAAAATAACTAGCTCGTAATATTAGCTATTAAAAAGCTAAACTGGGAGAGCATACCTCTAAGATTCTAGTATAAAATAACTAAAGATAGTTATATTAATACTCACCATTTTCTTTAGATTTGCAGCTAAATGAGGTATATTTCTAATTGTTTCAAGGTGGGTTTCTAATCTCTCAATGAAAGTTACAGCCAATTCCAGCAAATGTACCATATATCTGAAAGAGAAAGAAAAAAGTCAACCATTTTTTTTTTTTTTTCGCTCTGTCGCCCAGGCTGGAGTGCAGTGGCCGGATCTCAGCTTACTGCAAGCTCCGCCTCCCAGGTTCACGCCATTCTCCTGCCTCAGCCTCCCGAGTAGCTGGAACTACAGGCGCCCGCCACCTCGCCCGGCTAGTTTTTTGTATTTTTTAGTAGAGACGGGGTTTCACCGTGTTAGCCAGGATGGTCTCGATCTCCTGACCTCCTGATCCGCCCATCTCGGCCTCCCAAAGTGCTGGGATTACAGGCTTGAGCCACTGCGCCCGGCCTAACCATTTTTTAAAGTTTAATTGTTTTGCGTTCTTTTTCTTTTCCTTTAATCAGGACTTTTAATTTGAGATAAGAATTACAATCAACCTAGAGAGCCAATAACAACCTTCCTGCATTCATAGAAATATTAGTGATTAAAAAAAGGTCCTTCTCTTTCACTTTAAGCAACCTGTCATCCAATAAAAAAATGGAAAGAGATAACAGTAATCATATCTGGAATCCAACTTAATGTTAAAGAAACCTCAATGTTAATCATAATCATTTTCTCATATAAGTAAAGGAATTTCCCTAGATAAAAAAAATCCCATTCTGTTTCCTTTTTCTTTTTTTTTTTTTTTTGAGATGGAGTCTCACTATGTCACCAGGCTGAAGTGCAGTGGCACAATCTCGGCTCACTGCAACCTCCGCCTCCTGGGTTCAAGCAATTTTTCTGCCTCAGCCTCCTGAGTAGCTGGGATTAGAGGCACATGCCACCATGCCCAGCTAATTTTTGTATTTTTAGCAAAGACAGGGTTCATTATGTTGGCCAGGATGGTCTCAATCTCCTGACCTCATGATCCACCCGCCTCGGCCTCCCAAAGTGCTGGGATTACAGACATGAGTCACCTCGCCCGGCCCCATTTATTTCTTTTTGAGACAGAGTCTCATTCTGTTGCCCAGGCTGGAATGTAGTGGCACAATCTCGGCTCACTGTAACCTCCGCCTCCTGGGTTCAAGTGATTCTTGTGCCTCAGCCTCCTGAGTAGCTGAGATTACAGGCATGCACCACTACACTCAGTTACTTTTTGTATTTTTAGTAGAGACAGGGTTTTGTCATGTTGGCCAGGCTGGTCTCAAAGTCCTGGCCTCAAGTGATCCACCCATCTTGGCCTCCCAAATTATCAGGATTACAGGCGTGAGCTATGACGCCCGGCCTCATTCCATTTCAACCTACTCATTCTCTGTGAAGAATGAAGACAATAAGGATAAATGTACTTCATTGAAATAGCCTACATAGAAAGCTCTGCATTTGCAAAAACGCTTTCAAATCATTGCCCAGTTCTTAGATGTAGTACAGTATATACACTAAGGGTAATGATAATGTACTAAAGAGATACTGAATATAGCCACAGGAAACGGGTTTTGTTTTGTTTTTTGTTTTGAGACAGAGTCTCACCTGTTGCCCAGGCTGGAGTGCAGTGGCACAATCTCAGCTCACTGCAACCTCTGCCTCATGGGTTCATGTGATTTTCCTGCCTCAGCCTCACCAGTAGCTGGTATTACAGGCATGTGCCACCATGCCCAGCATATTTTGCATTTTTTGGTAGAGACAGGGTTTCACCATGTTGGCCAGGCTGGTCTCGAACTCCTGGTCTCAAGCGATCAGCCCACCTCGGCCTCCCAAAGTGTTGGGATTACAGGCGTGAGCCACTGTGCCCAGCCTTGTTTTGTCTTTTTGGAAGAACAAGTTTTTGCATATCTATTGTTTTCCTACAAAATAAAAAATCTGACACTTGAGAGAAGATACTGATTTGCTTAAGCTAGTGAGGCACTGGTGGAGAAAGTTAGCAATGAGATCCCCAGATGCTTGCTTCTTATTTATTTGAGACAGAGTCTCACTCTGTTACCCAGGCTGGTGCAATCACAGCTCACTGCAGAGTTGACCTTCTGGGCTCAGGTCATCCTCCCAGCTCAGCCTCCCAGGTAGCTAGGAATACAGGTGTGTGCCATCATGCTTTGCTCATTTTTGTTTTTTGTTTTTGTTTTTTTGGTAGAAATGGGATTTTGCCATGTTGCCCAGGCTGGTATTTATCATTAGTCATAATCTACATCTTCAATTTGATACTTGTAATACTGTGAGGAAGAGGGCAATAGAAGTCATCTCCATTCTATTTATTGGGAAACCAAGTGAAAAATTTAAATCATTTGCTCAAGGCTTTGAGGCATATAAACAGTAGCGATGAGAACAGAATCCAGGTTTTTTCCTCCCTTAGTTGATAGTGTTTTCATCTGCCCCAGTTAAACGCCCACAATAGAATTTTTACATATAGGCAACATTAACTCAACAATGAATTTACTTTGCAACAATGAATTTACTTCACATACAATTTTTGTTACATGTTATGGATCTAATTTCTTTCACTAAAGTCATAATTTGTAATTCCCAAAACACGATAGCCAAGTTCTTTCTTTTTGCCATAGGTATAGTGGTTTAAAAGCAATGATTTTCTTTCTGGTTTAATATATCAACATTAATAATGTTAACAACTAGAATCACTAATTGTTTTATGAATTCTGCTGCAAAGTAACTGCAAAACAAAAAGTAAACTAAGAAAACAGGTGTAACTGTTAATTTCTACTTTTCAGTCTAACCTGTGATAAACAGCTTCAATAGGTAAGTTTTCCTGGCACATGGGTTTCAACAGTCTTTGCCTAAGGGATCTCTTCTCTTTCAGCACTGCTTCCAAATGATTATTCATGCTTTGCAGAGTATGACACTTCTGAGCTATACAAATTAAAAATAGTAATTACAGTTAGCAATAGGACAAATAACAGAATCACTAATAATTTCTTCTTTGCCTTGGTTTAACACCACCAATGTCAAAAATTCATCCCATCATTACCCTCCTGTCTCCTCTGTATTAATAATTGGTATTAATACCAATACCAATTTCATTTTCAACAACTTTCGTTTAGTCGGTTTTTGTATATGTAATATATTTCTATTATCTCTTTTCCTAGTGATAACCAAATCTAGTGCTAAATTCTTTCTCTGTGTTTCTCATCTCTACCTCTTATTCAGTTCTTAATAGCCAGAGCTGTATTCTTAACACAAAGTTTTTTCCTATCTCTGATTCTAATAGTCTATAAAAGACCATCAAAAAAGAGTCACCTTAACTGGTGCGCTAGCACATACCTGTAATCACAGTGTTTTGGGAGACTGAACTGGGAGAACTGAGGCCAGGGGTTTGAGACCAGCCTGGGCAACATAGTAAAACCTCATCTCTACAAAAAAAATTGAAGAAAAAAAAATTAGCTGGGCATGGTGGCACATGCCAGTAGTCCTAGCTACTTGAGAGAATCAGTTGAAACCAGGTGTTAAAGTTACAGTGACCTGTACTTCAGCCTGGGTGACAGGGTGACACTCTTAAAGTCATCTTACAAGCTATTTCTGATTATCTCATTATTTTCCCCATTCAGTTAATGGCTGCCAATTGACCTGTCTTTAAAATTCTTATTTTGAAAAAATTCAGATTTGCAGAAAAGTTTCAAAAAAAATTGATGAACTCACATATACATTTTATTTATACTCACTGATTGTTAACATTTGGCTACATTTTCTTTTTATCTTCCTTCTCTCTCTACACACACACACACACACACTCTCTCTCTCTCTCTCTCTCTCTCTATTTTTGCTGATCCATTTGAGAGTCAGCTGCAGACAGCATGATATTTTTCCCTGTGAAACGTTAGCATGTATTTCCCAAGAACAGGAACATTCTCCTATATAACTACAGCACATTATCAAATTCAAAAATTTAACATTGATACAATACTACCAATATTTAGTACAGCCCATATTTAAACATCACTAAGTATCCCAATAATGTCCTTTACAGCAAAAAGAATTTTAATTTTTGAGACAGGGTCTCACTCTGTCACCCACGCTGGAGCGAAGTGCTATGATTACAACTCCTTGCAGCCTCGACCTCCCAGGCTCAAACAATCCTCCTGCCTCAGACTTTCATGTAACTGGTACTTCAGGTACACACTACAATGCCTGGCTAGTTTTTGTATTTTTTGTAGAGACAGGGTTTCACCATGTTGCCCAGGCTGATCTTGAACTCCTGGGCTCAAGCAATCCACCCACCTTGGCCTCCCAAAGTGCTCGGTTTACAGGCGTGACTCTCCACACCTGGCCACAAGAAAACTTTCTCGTCAAATATTCAATACATTGCCAGCCATGGTGGTATGCACCTGTGATCCCAGCTACTTGGGAGGCTGATTTGGGAGGATTGCTTGCGCCATTCAAGACTACCCTAGGCAACATAGGAAGACCCCATCTCATTAAAAAAAAAAATCAATCCATGATCGTACAGTGCTTTAGTTGTCATGTCCCTTTAGTCTCCTTTAATCTGAAAGTTCCTCAGACTTTTCTTTCAAGTTCTCCTGACTTTGAAGAGCCAATTTAGTCACTTTTTATGCTGTTTGTACTACTAAAGCCAACAGAACTTCTATTTCAGCATAGAAATAGACAACTTCGTTAGCTTTGGAACAACACCTGGAAAAACGACGGTGCATCATAATTTGACTGACTGGTGCTTATTACAGTAATCCAAGAAAAAGCTGAAATTCCAGTGATTATCCACTTAACTAAAACCAAACCACTTACCCAGAAAGAAAGGATGAACAACATCTGCTGTATCTTTTTCTAGTTTCAGGAGTTCAATTTCCAGGTTTTTCTACATGGGGAACAAAAGTAACATTTAGCTCAATCAGAGAGTATCCGGGGCCAGGCACAGTGGCTCACTCCTGTAATCCCAGCACTTTGGGAGGCCGAGGTGGGTGGATTACCTGAGGTCAGGAGTTCGAGACCAGCCTGGCCAACATGGTGAAACCCCATCTCTACTAAAAATAAAAAATTTGCTGGGTGTGGTGGTGCACACCTGTAGTCCCAGCTACTTGGGAGGCTGAGATGGGAGGATCACATTTTGTTTTTGAGACTGGGTCTCCGTCTGTCACCCAGGCTGGAGTACAGTGGCGCAAACATGGCTCACTGCAGCCCCGACCTCCTAGGCTCAAGTGATCCTCCCACCTCAGCCTCCCAAGTAGCTGGGACTACAGGTGTGTGCCACCATGTCTGGTTACTTTTTAAATTTTTTTGTAGAGACGGGATCTCCCTATGTTGCCCATACAGGGTCTCAAACTCCTGGGCTCAAGCAGTCCTCCCACCTTGGCCTCCCAAAGCGCGAGGATTATAGGTGTGAGCCACTACACCTGGCCAGCTTTTGTTTTTGTTTTCCTATACTAGAAGTACAAAGAGAAAAGTTCAGTCCGGGCGCGGTGACTCACACCTGTAATCCCAGCACTTTGGGAGGCCGAGGCAGGCGGATCACAAGGTCAGGAGATCGAGACCATCCTGGCTAACACGATGAAACCCCATCTCTACTAAAAATACAAAAAATTGGCCAGTGGGGGTAGTGGGCGCCTGTAGTGCCAGCTGCTCAGGAGGCTGAGGCAGAATGGTGTGAACCTGGGAGGCGGAGCTAGGAGTGAGCTGAGATCGTGCCACTGCACTCCAGCCTCCAGCCTGGGTGACAGTGAGACTCCGTCTAAAAAAAAAAAAAAAAGAAAAGAAAGTGAAAAGCTCAACATGATTTACCTGGTAGATTTCAGCTTCAATGTCTGTGATCTGCTGTAGTCTGGTGAAGTTCACAAAACAAGAAGCTGTTTTCTTAGACATGTTTAACATCTCCTATTGGTAAACAAACAAGGAAAGTAGCAGAATGTCACAAAAAGTTTCTAGGTACATTGGAATAGCATGCTCATAGTCTAAAATATGAGAATATATTATGTCCAACACTGCCTTTGAACATGAAGTACAAAGTAAAACAGTAGCAATGTGTAATTCTTGTTTTAGAACCTTTACCATCACAAATCACTTGCTCAAATATTAAAAAAAATAAGAGAAACAACACACTCCCTTTGTATTATTTCCTAAGGTATCATACAAAATAGATTTATATTACTGATAGTTTATCAAAGGATTCTAAGACTAAAGTTGTTGGAGAATCACCTCTATCTTTCCAAATGACTCAGGCCCAGTCTCTCTGAGCTTCTGGGGTTGAAATCAAATACTTTTCCCCTTCATGGACTCATTTATCTGATTCGCTAAATGACCTCAGTTGGCTACAAGTCATTCATACTGTGTATATTCACATTCTTATCTTTCAGTTAAAGGATTATTTGCATCCAGGCATAATTATTCTTTCAAAAAGGTTACCCCTTCTTTTTTATCCTTTCGTTCCACGAGTCCATGCACATTATCTCAGAATTGAGTATTATCTTGTGCATCCCTAGACTTCATCCATAATTTTCTCTATCATTTCGCTTTCTACAATGCTAGCACAGCAAAGAATATATACACATATATATTTTTTAGATGGAGTCTTGCTCTGTTACCCAGGCTGGAGTGCAGTGGCGCGATCTCAGCTCACTGCAAGCTCCGCCTCCCGGGTTCATGCCATTCTCCTGCCTCAGCCTCCTGAGTTGCTGGGACTACAGGCGCCTGCCAGCCTGCCCGGCTAAATTTTTTTTGTATTTTTTAGTAGAGACGGGGTTTCACTGTGTTAGCCAGGATGGTCTCAATCTCCTGACCTCGTGATCTGCCCACCTAGGCCTCCCAAAGTGCTAGGATTACAGGCGTGAGCCACCCACTGGGTTTTGTTCTTGTCACCCAGGCTGGAGTGCAATGGCATGATCTCCGCTCACTGCAACCTCTGCCTCTTGGATTCAATTGATTCTCCTGCTTTAGCTTCCCAAGTAGCTGGGATTACAGCTTTCCAAGTAGCTTCCCAGCTACCATGGGATTATCGCCACCATGCCCAGCTATTTTTTTTTTGTACTTTTAGTACAGTTGGGGTTTCACCATGTTGGCCTGGCTGGTCTACAACTGCTGACCTCAGGTGATCCACCCACCTCAGCCTCCTAGAGTGCTCAGATTACAGGCGTGCGCCACCGTGCCCAGGCCAAAGAATTTTAGAGATCAGATAGGCTAGGGATTGGAAAACTATAGTCCATGAAATAAATCCAGCCCATTACCTGTTTTTGTATAGCCTGTGAGCCAGGCATGATTTTTATATATTCAAATTGTTGGGAAAAAGAAAATCAAAGACAATATTTTATAACAGTCTGGGCACAGTGGCTCATGCCTGTAATCCCAGCACTTTGGGAGGCTGAGGTGGGTGGATCATTTGAGGTCAGGAGTTCAAGACCAGCCTGGCCAACATAGTGAAACCCCATCTCTACTAAAAATACAGAAATTAGTCAGGCAGTAGTGGTGCACACCTGTAATCCCAGCTACTCGGGGGGCTGAGGCAGGAGAATTGCTTGAGCCTGGGTGACAGAGGTTGTGGTGAGCTGAGATTGCCACTGCACTCTAGTCTGGGCGACAGAGTGAGACCCTATCTCAAAAATAAATAAATAAATAAAAGGCTGGGCATGGTAGCTCACGCCTGTAATCCCAACACTTTGGGAGGCCATGGCAAGCGGATTACCTGAGGTCAGGAGTTTGAGACCAGCCTGGCCAACATGGTGAAACTCTGTCTCTATTCAAAAAAAATAAACAAAATAAATTAGCCGGGCGTGGTGGTGGGCGCCTGTAATCCCAGCTACTTTGGGAGGCTGAGGCAGAAGAACTGCTTGAACCTGGGAGGCGGAGGTTGCAGTGAGCCAAGATCGCGCCACTGCACTCCAGCCTGGGCGACAGAACAAAACTCTGTCTAAAAAAAAAAAAAACAAAGAAAATGATACGAAATTCATGTTTCATGGTCTAGAAATAAAGTTTTATTGGAACGTGACTTGTCTCATCCATTTACATGCTATCTCTGGCTGCCTTTATACAACTACCTAGTTGTGTAGTTGCAACCATATGGCCCACAAAGCCTTATATATTTACTCTCTGGTCTTCACAGTAAAAGTTTACTGTCTAAAAATAACCAATTTTATAAACACTTACTGAGTTAGGCAATGGAATATTCAAATATGAAACAAGCTCTCCACCCTCACGAGGCTCATAATGTATGGGAAGAAAAAGGTATTCTAGATAGAAAGATCAAAAACATTATAAATGCTCAATAACCACCAGTGTTCGCATATATGTGAAAACAGGGTAAGAGGTAGCGGAAAACATAGTCTCCACATAATCACAGATGATCCTGAGTGCTATGCTCAACAATCATACTGCAGAAAATGGGAGCAACTGAACATTTTCTGGTAAAGAAGTAATACAATCATACATAATACTTATTTAGAAATACAGCCTGGCATGATGGCTCACACCTGTAATCCCAGCACTCTGGGAGGCTAAAGCAGGATAACTGCTTGAGCCCAGGAGTTTGAGACCACCCTGCACAACACAGGGTGTCTCTATAAAAAATTTAAAAAATTAGCCAGGCAGCTGGGCATGGTGGCTCCCGGCTGTAATTCCAGCACTTTGGGAGGCTGAGGTGGGCAGATCACGAGGTCAGGAGATCGAGACCATCCTGGCCAACATGGTGAAACCCCATCTCTACTAAAAAATACAAAAATTAGCTGGCTATGGTGGCACACCTGTAGTCCCAGCTACTCGGAAGGCTGAGGCAGGAGAATCGCTTGAACCCAGGAGGCGGAGGTTGCAGTGAGCCGAGATCACGCCACATTGCACTCCAGCCTGGTGACAGAGTGAGACTGTCTCAAAAAAAAAAAAAAAAAAAAATTAGCCAGGCATGGTAACGTGTGCCTATAGTCCCAGCTACTTGGGAGGCTGGGGTGGGAAGATCCCTTGAGCCTGGGAGATTGAGGATACAGTAAGCTGTGATCATGCTACTGCAACTCCAGCCTGGGCAACAGGGTGAGACCCTGTCTCAGAGGCGGCGGGGAAGGTAGCGATATTTAACTGGGGAAGTGTGAAAAATAAAACTGGCTGGGCCTGGTGGCTCACACCTGTAATCCCAGCACTTTGGGAGGCGGAGGTGGGTAGATCACCTGAGATCAGGAGTTGGAGACCGGCCTGGCCAATATGGTGAAACCCTGTCTCTACTAAAAATACAAAAATTAGCCAGGCATGATGACATATGCCTGTAGTCCCAGCTACTAGGGAGGCCAATGTGGGAGGATCACTTGAGCCCAGGAGGCCGAGGCTGCAGTGAGCCATGAGCACGCCACTGCACTCCAGCCTGGACAACAGAGCGAGACTCTCTCAAAAAAAAAAAAAAATACACCCACAAAACAAACAAAATAAAAACACTACTGAAGAGGGAGGAGGGAATAGGGAATAGTACAGGGTTTACATCTGGAGTGATAAAAATGTTTTTGAAAATAGTTGCACAATATTGAGTATAGTAAATGCCACTGAATTGTACATTTTAAGATAGTTAAAATGGTAAATTTTATGTTATGTTATATGTATTTTACCACAATAAAAAAAAAGAAGGAAAACCCTGGTAACTAGCTAACATAAACAACACTAGTGGAGCAATGGACTAGAGAGATTGGATATTTTAAACAGGTAGCTGCTACGGTATTCCAGGTGAGGATGAGAATGTGGACTAGGTCAGTAACAGTTAAAAAGGAAAGGAAGAAAAGACGGAGTTCCTGAAAAGATAGAATTGACAAATCTTAACTGATATGGTGAATAAGGGATAAAATCCAATTAATACTCCAAGGATTCTGCTTCACGTGAGTGGACAGAGTTATGCCATTCACTGAAGTAGATAACACAAGATATTTTACTGATGGCAAAATTGAGGAACAGGAAAGTATTACTCCAACTTCACACTGCCAATGTGTGCGAGGGTGGAAGTGAGAACACATCTAATCCACTGTCTTTCCATCATATGAGCTGACTCTTTTTTCTTTGTTTCTCTCAGGAGGTAAATGAGCGTAAAACATTTTCTCCAATGTATCACATTGTAATCAACTTGTTCCCTGGTATATCTCCCTCTCTCCATGCTTATACACTAATCTTAGTTGTATATCTGGCAAACTAGTAAACTGTCGGGTTCAACAGTAGAGTAATGGTGCTTAGCTAAGAACATGCAAGAGAAACCAGAGGAAAAATAAGAATGTTTAAGAAGCAGATAACAAAAAAGGAGAGAAGAAAGAAAGATGGTCAGGTGAAGTGGCTCTCACCTGTAATCCCTGCACTTAGGGAGGTGGAGGCTTATTTTCTATAACGAATAGAAAGTATAACTATTTGAGGATTGAGACTTAGTTTAACATATTTAAAAAAAGAAAAAGAAAAAAGCATCAGGGATTTGAGTCTTTTCCTTTAGCTATTGTTATTATATATTGCTATTACATGCCCCAGAGGGCAAAAGAACCCTGAAAATGAAAGGATCCTGAGAAAAAGGAGTCTATTCAGGGTATTTTTGTTTATTCCGTGGCTAGGCACAGGAAGAAGCTGAAATCCAGAAACTTTACACTTAATATAAAAATCCTGGTAACATTATATACCACATATGTATATATAAATTTGTAATTTGTGGGCACCCTTTCTTTTTCCTATCCCTTCCTTTTCATACTGAATTCTAGCTGAGAGACACTAAAAGGGAGGTTAGTATAGCAGAGAATTTAAGAGCAGAGGCTCTCAAATGGGAGAGTAGGTGTAGAGGAGAGTAGGACACAGGTTAAGAAAATAGAATTACTAGATTCTGTGCGTTTTGTTTTTTTTTTTTTTTTGTAGATCCAGACCCTGATCTTATTAATTGCCAATAAGCAATGACCAAGCTTTGGTCAAGACTCCATGACTCACTCACACTTGCTGGAAAAATATCTAGAATGTAAGGCCACTAAAGCAGTCCCTAGGGGAATAAACTAAAGCAATACCCCATTATCCTACAGAGAGCCCTACCTTTCTTTCACCAAATCACTCTCTAATGGACTGAAACAAAACTTCAAACAAGTTATGTTTTCCAGAAGAGTTGTATCAAATCACAATCTTAGGCATCACTCAATTTTTAAAAAATTCTTGCCAGCAGGAATTCAGTAGTCTTAATTTTTAATGCAGAAAAAATGATGTGCATTAAAGGGATGGGCTGTTTAAAGGGATGATGTGACAAATCATTTTGAAAGAATCAGTGCTAAATCCTTCTAACAGGAAAAGGTTTTTGGCTGGGTGTGGTGGCTCAAGCCTGTAATCCCAGCACTTTGGGAGGCCGAGGCGGGTGGATCATTTGAGGTCAGGAGTTCGAGACCAGCCTGACCAACATGGTGAAATCCCGTCTCTACTAAAAATAAAAAACATTAGCCGGGCGTGGTGGTGCGTGCCTGTAATCTCAGCTACTCAGGAAGCTGAGGCAGGATAATTGCTTGAACCCAGGAGGTGGAGGTTGCAGTGAGCCGAGACTGTGCCACTATACTCCAGTCTGGGCAACAGAGCAAGACTCTGTCTCAGGGGGAAAAAAAAAAAAAAGATAAAGGTTTTTATGTATAAAGTTTCCTTAAAGTAAAACCAACCTACAAGTCTGTAAATAGCTCCCTCATTGGGACTAGCTGTGTAGTAAGGTTGTCAGAGGTCTTAAGGAGCTATAGAGTGGGACATGTTAACTGTAGGTAAAACCAGTAACTGTCTAATTAATGTTACTTGAGAGACAGTAGACACCACCAAGACAACCACCACCCCCAAAAAAGAGATCACCCATCAATGCCTAAAATTCTCTCACCAGTGCCTCACTCCTTTGGTTTAGGCATTTGTATTTCCTACCAATGCTCTTTAGAGGGATACCAAGTACCAAAAGTTGGGGGGTTTTTTGTTTTTGTTTGAGACAGGGTCTTACTGTGTCACTCGGGTTGGAGTGCAGTGGCATGATCTTTGCTCACTGCAACCTCCACCTCCAGGGCTCAAGCGATTCTCATGTCTCAGCTTCCTGAGTAGCTGGGATTACAGGCACCTACCACCATACCTGGCTAATTTTTGTATTTTTAGTAGAGGCTGGGTTTCACCATGTTGGCCAGGTTGATCTCAAACTCCTGACCTCAGGTGATCAACCCGCCTTGGCCTCCCAAAGCGTTGGGATTACAGGCATGAGCCCTCAAAAATGTTTTCTATTATGAGTTTGCCAAACTATTTTGTGGCAGGAGAACTGGACAATACAAGTGAGAGTACTAGGTAACCTGATAAGAAAAAGGCTGGGCTCGTTGGCTCATGCCTGTAATCCAAATACTTTGGGAGGCCAAGACAGGCAGATCACCTGAGGTCAGGAGTTTGAGACTAGCCTTGCCAAAATGGTGAAACCCCATCTCTACTGAAAATATGAAAATTAGTAGGCGTGATGGCAGGTGCCTGTAGTCCCAGCTACTCTGGAGCATGAGAATTGCTTGAACCCAGGTGGTGGAGGGTACAGTGAACCAAGATCACACCACTGCACTCCAGCCTGGGCAACAGAGGGAGACACCGTCTCAAAAAAAATAAATAAAAGAAAAGAAAAAGAAAACACAGGAGAGAAGGGAGGAAGGATTAAACTGTAGAGGGCTGTGGCCACCCCTGGGAAATGTAGTTAACTAGGACCACCTGAATCTCCTGATCACCCAGACAATGGGTGTTCAACAAAAGCTTAAAATCTTTCAAGACAATATCACAGCCTCTTATAACAGTTCATCTTGAGAGAGGACACAATGTGTCAAAAGGAAGAGTGCTAAGATCTAATTCTCCTTCAACAGTCTAGTGACCATGGGCAAGTTTCTTGGTCTAAGCCTTAGTTTCTTAAATTAAAAAATACTCTAAGGTATTAGAGTCTCTAATGGCTCTTCTAACTATAAAAAGTTATATATTTTCCATAAATCTTCCATCATGTTTGTAATGCTTTTTTTTTTTTCTGAGACAAGGTCTCACTCTGTTGCCCAGGCTAAGTGGAGTGGCCCGATCGCGTCTCACTGCAACCTCCATCTGCTGAGCTCAAGCCATCTTCCCATCTGAGCCTCCGGGACCCATGTGGTCCTGGGAGTAGCTGGGACCACAGGTGCACGCCACCACACCGGCTAATATAGTGCTAATTTTTACAGATCAGTTTAACTTTTCTGTTTTCTTTTTAGTGAAATTCCTCAACTTCCTCTATATATCAAAATTTCTTTCCCCATTTTTCTCAATGCCCTTGATCCCACTTTCGCCATGCCCTTCTGTCACTTGCATTCCATTATTTCCTCACATGTTCAATTTCTCACTCTATTGGCTCCTTCCCCCGACATGCTCTTCTTGCCCAACCTAAAACTGCCACTTTGTGACTCCTTGGGTTAATGTCTCTTTTCTCTCCTCAAAATTAATCTCTTCCTCCATTCACGTTCCAAGGTCTTATCTTTTTAGCCAATACTTTTTTTTTTTTTTTTTTTTTTGCCTGTAAAGATGCCAAGGCCTGGCACGGTGACTCAAGCCTGTAATCCCAGCACTTTGGGAGGCCGAGGCGGGTGGATCACGAGGTCAGGAGATCGAGACCATCCTGGCTAACACGGTGAAACTCGTCTCTACTGAACATTAAAACAAACAAAAAAAATTAGCTGGGCGTGGCGGTACGCGCCTGTAGTCCCACCTACTCGAGAGACTGAGGCAGGAGAATCGCTAGAACCCGGGAGGCAGAGGTTGCAGTGAGCAGAGACCGCGCCACTGCACTCCAGCCTGGGTGACAGAGCGAGACTGTCTCAAAAAATAAATAAATAAAAATAAAATAAAAACACGAAAAAAGAGCTTCTAGCGCTCTTCTCTACCCAGTACCTCCCACCCCAAATACGATTCAATACTTCCCACAAACGAGCGTTGTTGGTAATGCTTGTTCCGCAAGGGGACGTAACGATCCGTATTTCCTATCCCCGCCTTACACTACAGTCTAGAGGCAGTATCACTGGATGAAAAAAAGGCCAGTAACAGCAGTCTAATCTCCCACAAACGGGCCAGGGACAAATTTACCCTACAGACACTCAAAACACAGTCTACCCTAAACACCATCTACTCAGATCCCCGTTTTCCAAGCACCCACGGCAGAACGGTCGCGGCTGTTGCCTGGAAGGGGATCTATTACTATAGTACAGACCCCAACCAGGACCCTCACCACTCCCACAGCCAGCAGCACCAACTCACAGCCATATTCTGTTGCCATCGTGGGCACCCCCTTGATGACGTCACAGCCGCCCCCACGCACCTGATTGACCATCCCCGAAGCTATGAGGTGGCCTAGCACTAGCCCAGCGCCGTTAGGCGCGGACGCCGGGTCCCAGGGGTTGGCAGCCGCCATGGCTCCGACTCACCTCCCGCGAAGGCGCCAAGAGTGAGTTGGAACGCAGGGCGAACGCAAGGCGCGGCTCGATGACGTCACAGGGCGGTCCCGCCCGGGGCTAAGCCGGGGAGCGCATCCCGGCTACTGCGGGTCCTGGGTCTTCACCTGCGGAGCCATCCGGCAGCTGAGCGGTGGGAGGCGAGTCCGGGGTTCCTTGATCTTCCGTAGGCTCCCAGAGGCGCCTGGCCTCCGCAGAGCTGCAAAGGCGGCAGGGCTTGGTGGTCGGGCTGTCTGTTCTTCCGTCTCTTCCTTGCCACTCTTGGGTCGGGCCCCAGGAGCCAGGGATCGGCGGGAGATGAGAGCTGGGGCGGGAGGCCGACCGGGTGGACTGGGCGGTGACAGCTGCGCTTCCTTCCCGCAGGGACCTGAGCCGCGGCGCTAGGATGGGAAACAGTGCGCTCCGCGCTCATGTGGAAACGGCGCAGAAAACTGGTGTCTTTCAGCTTAAGGATCGAGGGCTGACCGAGGTGAGAATGGGAGGGACACGACCGGGGAACTTAAAGGGAGAGGGACGGCGGGGGCGGCGAACTTAGTCGGTGCGGGATTCTCCACGCTGTGAACTCCTTTCTCCAGTTCCCCGCAGACTTGCAGAAGCTCACGAGCAATCTCAGGACCATCGACTTGTCCAACAACAAGATCGAGAGCCTACCGCCTTTGCTGATAGGAAAGTTCACTCTGCTGAAGAGCCTCTCCCTGAACAACAACAAACTGAGTATGGCTCTTGCCTGGGAGGCTTTTGCTAGTGATAAGCTGTTACCAGGGGTGGTTTTCTCTTACAAGCTGATTTTTGTTTTCGTTATGAAACCGTGCAGGAGGGCTCAAGTTGCAGAATGCCGGAATCCTTGAAGCCTTCTTTCTACTTGTAATTACATCAAAAATAAGCCTCCTTGGGTGTTATAATGATTGTTACTGGGTTAATTTGGACTTGAAAGGGAAGAACATTTTGGGGATGTAATGTAAACAAAGCTACCTAACTTGGAATGGGGGATGGATGGGAAGGGGAGGATCTTCCAAATATCACAAAATTGCTGTCAAATTGTGCCTTGGACCCCTTTACAAAAGGAGTCCATTATACACACAAATGCTCACCTGCATTTTGATGGCACCCTCACCTTCTAAAGACTATGTTGGTAAAATGCAATACCTAAAAATGGCACATGTGGGAATTTTACATATATTAACAAGAGGCGAAGCAGGCTGCCACATAGTCTTTAGAAACTTCATCAAAGTTGTTTTCAGCTCTATCAGATTCGGGTTTTAAAAACATTTTCTTTGCCAGCTGTTCTGCCTGATGAGATATGCAATCTGAAAAAACTAGAGACGCTAAGCCTGAACAACAATCACCTTAGAGAGCTGCCGTCTACCTTTGGGCAACTCTCTGCCCTCAAGACCCTGAGCCTCTCTGGGAACCAACTGGGAGCATTACCTCTCCAGCTTTGTAGCCTGCGGCACCTGGATGTGGTGGATCTCTCTAAGAACCAGATTCGAAGTATACCTGACACAGTGGGAGAGCTGCAAGTCATCGAACTCAATCTCAACCAGAATCAGGTCTAGAGCTTAAGGTTTTTTCCCCTACAGCGTATGTGTGGGTTTATGGTCTCCTGATACCTCTTAACCTCTTGTTTCCTAAGCTGCCATCACAGAGCTAAGTATCAGAGGCTAGATGAGAGGTTTCTTCTGTAAGCTGAACTAATTTCAAGGCCCAAAGTGCCATGGAATTAGTTGAGACACTGGATGTGTTAGTTGTGTAGGTGTTTTCGGGAGGATGAGGTAGGTAACAGGGAGAGATCATTTCAAAAGTTAAACTATTGTCTCACAAATCTTGAAGAATTCTTCAGATCCTCCTCAAATATGCCCTGAACCAGCTAGCCAGGAGCTATGTCAGGGATAGAGTGTGGAAATGAAGCCTAAACTGAGGTTCTCAGAGTCAGGTGTCAGAGGTAATTCAGTTTTTTCATTTTGTGGGGGGTTTTGACATCTTTGTTAAGTGTGTCTTCTATTTTTGCTGAAGAATATTAAGTGATAGGCTTTCTGGAGATAGCCCATTTCACTGTTATACAGCTTTAATTATATTTGAAATTTGTTTCCATTACTTTGGCAGCTTTTCAATTAATATTTGTCTGGAAAACCAATCCACACATTCTTGTCTAGGCATGAAGGCACAAGTGATGAAACATTCAACACTGTGAAATGGATGGCCTTTAGTTTTTTAGTGTCTGTATTTCTAGATCTGCATGATCCATTAAAGTAGCCACTAGCTGCATGTAGCTATTCCTTTTCTAGATTGTAGTGATTTTACATCATGATGAAATTCAGTCTGTCTTTGAGGGATTGGCCTCATGTTTTTTACCTTAAGTGGATATTCTTATATGTTATAGAGCTTCTTGGGGGGGAAAAAACTGAATCAGTTAAGCAGCACGTATCAGTCGAGGATTTGCTCCACATTCACCTCTGCTAGTACCTTTATTCAGTGGTTCTCTGACTTTAGTATGCATCAGAATAACCAGAAAAGCTTGTTTAAAGAGATCATTAGCCCCTGCCCTCAGTATGTCTGATCCAGTAGGTCTGGGATGAGGTCTGAGAACTTGCATTGCTAGTTATTGAACTTACTAAAGTTCCCATCATTTCTAATAAGTGATGATCTGAGATGATACTAAGCAGAATCAAAGAATGTGGTGACTTTTAGTATTTAAATGGCAAAAGGGGTGAGTCAAAGACAATTGCTTGGTATTGAGCTTGAGGGCCTAAAGGAACAGTGGTGTTATTGAGAATGGACATGCTAAGTTGTCTGTGGTGAATCTTGTAAACGGAAATGCCTTAATGAAAGTTGGAAACATGGGAGCAGAATAAAGGTAAGAGTGTAGATACAGATCTTGAGGTCATAACAAAAGTAATGGACTTTAATGAATGAGCTTTCTAGGAAAAGTTGAGAGAGAAGATGACATATGAAGTATTAGGGACAGCTACTTGAAAAATGCCTATAAAAACAAGAGAAGTAAGGAATAATCCAAAAGATAGGAAGAAAAACCAAAAAGGACAAAAAGAAGGGGTTTTAAGGAAGGGATAGATAGTACAGTTAAATGCAATAGGGACTGAGGACGATGGATCCTTGAATTTGTTAGTAAAGTGGTCAGTATCTATGTACCCATAAAACATTGGCAGTAGGCCGGGTGCGGTGGCTCAAGCCTGTAATCCCAGCACTCTGGGAGGCCGAGACGGGTGGATCACGAGGTCAGGAGATCAAGACCATCCTGGCTAATACGGTGAAACCCCGTCTCTACTAAAAAAAATACAAAAAACTAGCCGGGCGAGGTGGCGGGCGCCTGTAGTCCGAGCTACTCGGGAGGCTGAGGCAGGGGAATGGCATAAACCCGGGAGGTGGAGCTTGCAGTGAGCTGAGATCCGGCCACTGCACTCCAACCCGGGCGACAGAGCGAGACTCCGTCTCAAAAAAAAAAAAAAAAAAAAAAAAAAAAAATTGGCAGTAAATGTACCAAAATGTTTATGGTGGTTATTTCTGAGTGGTGCATTCTAGGTCAACTTTTTTCTTTAAACCTGTGATTTTCAAATTTTCTATAATGGACATACAGTGCTTTTATCATCAGAAAATTTTGTTCCCAAAAAGCCACTGGTGACCTTCATAAAAGCTTTTTTTTTAAGTGGGGGCGTAGTAACAGAAGCTAGATAACAGAGGCTTCTGGAGTGAGTAGGCAGTGAGAAAATGGAGGCGGTAAAAGAGGGGAAAACTAGAACAAATAGTCAAGTAAAGATTTTTTGTTTTGTTTTAATGTACTAAAAGTAACCAGTGTAGTGCTTATGCTTTTTCCTGTTATTCTTTTGTGGTTTTTCAATAGATATCTCAGATCTCAGTGAAGATATCTTGCTGTCCTCGCCTTAAAATTCTTCGCCTGGAAGAGAATTGTCTTGAGCTCAGCATGCTTCCCCAGAGCATCCTCAGTGATTCCCAGATCTGTCTGCTTGCTGTGGAAGGCAATCTTTTTGAAATAAAGAAACTTCGAGAACTGGAAGGCTATGATAAGGTATGAATTAATGTACTTCTACATTTCTAGTCACTACCCCAGAGAAGACAATGGTGAAGTAATCCACAGAAATGTTTATAGCTAATGTCAACAGGGTTTGTTCTTCCCCATTTTGGAAGTAGATTCAAAGCATCGGCTGAATGGTGTTGTACCAAGATGACTTTTTCTGTAGAGACAGCTTATTGTAAAGCATCTTTGTCTTCATCTTTGTCTTTTGAGAGATATATATATACACACACACATATACATATATACACGCATATATATACACGCATACACACACACACACACACAGATATATATATATTTTTGTGTGTGAGACAGGGTCTCACTCTGTTGCCCAGGCTGGAGTGCAGTGATGCAATCTCAGCTCACTGGCGCAGCCCCCACCTCCCGGGCTCAAGCAATTCTTATCCCTCGGCCCCCTTAGTAGCTGGGATCACAGTTGCACGCCAGTATGCCTTGCTAATTTTTGCAGAGATGGGGTTTCACCTTGTTGGCCAAGCTGGTCTCAAACTCCTGAGCTCAAGTGATCTGCCCGCCGCAGCCTCCCAAGGTGCTGGGATTACAGGTGTAAGCCACTGCGTCCAGCCCTATGTGCTTTATTTTTACTTTTATTTTGGAGGCAAGGTCTCGCTCTGTCACCCGGCTTGAGTGCAGTGGCAGGATCTCAGCTCAAGTGATCCTCCCACCTCAACCTCCTGATTAGCTGAGACTACAGGCGCTACCATGCCTCATTTTTCTATTTTTGGTAGAGATGAGATTTCACCATATTGCCCAGGCTGGTCTCAAACTCCTAGGCTCAAGCGATCCATCTACCTTGGCCTCCCAAAGTGTTGGGATTACAAGTGTGAGCCACTGCACCCGGCCAAAACTATGTACTTAATTTTGCATTTAGAGTAGTTATATTTTGTAGGAAATGAAAAACCACATGCAATAAAAACCAAAATTAAAAAAAACACACACACAAACAGTTAGGCTTTTATTTATTTACTCATGCCAAAATACCCCTGATGTATTCTTTCATGTTTTTCAGTACATGGAGAGGTTCACAGCCACCAAGAAGAAGTTTGCGTGAAGTTCTCCAGGACTATGGAAACCTTACAGGATACTGACTTAGAACCTCTGTTGGAATGTGGCTGAGTCAAAGCCTCTACAGTAAGGAGATGATACTCCAGGAGATTATATTTCACTCAATGATCCTTTTTCATTTCAGGGCTCTTCTCAAATAAGCTAAAAGAAAAAGGGTCAGGAGACAGGAAAAGTCTTCCATTTTGAGTCACGAGTAGGGCAATAGACAAGGTTGATCTTCAAAACCATCATTAGTTTGGCTTTAAGAAACCAGTAGCTAGCTGCTATTTATATGGTGAGGGGGTGCTGCCTGGTAACAGAATAGCTCCACACCACAGCTTGAGATTTTGTTTTGTTTCAATGTGCGAGCTTTCATAAAGTCAGTTGCCATTCCATCTCTGTGTTAACACTTCATATTTTTATGAAATTCAGATAATTTGTGACAGGCTGGCATGGATCTAAGGATTTATTATTTTTATTCTAGTCCATCAGTTCAGTCGCAGTTTTTATACTAGGACTTTAGGATATATATAAATGTGTGACTGTTTGTCTTGATTAAAAGTGCACTTTGGGCTGGGCATGGTGGCTCATGCCTATAATCCCAGCACTTTGGGAGGCCAAGGTGGGTGGCTCACTTGAGGCCAGGAGTTCAAGACCAGCCTGGCCAACATGAGAAAACCCCGTCTCTACTAAAAATACAAAAATTAGCCCGGTGTGGTGGCACATGCCTGTAATCCCAGCTACTTGGGAGGCTGAGGCAGGAGAATCGCTTGAACCCAAGAGGCGGAGATTGCAGTGAGCTGAGATTATGCCACTGCACTCCAGCGTGGGTGACAGAGTGAGACTCCATCTCAAATTTAAAAAATAAAAATAATTTTTTTTTTTAAAGTACGCTTTGTTGGCTGAGCGTGGTGGCTCACGCCTGTAATCCCAGCACATTGGGAGGCCGAGGCAGGCGGATCACGAGGTTAGGAGTTCGAGAACAGCCTGGCTAACATGGTGAAACCCTGTCTCTACTGAAAATACAAAAATTAGCCTGGCGTGGTGGTGGGTACCTGTAATCCCAGCTACTCGGGAGGCCGAGACAGCAGAATTGCTTGAACCCAGGAGCAGAGGTTGCAGTGAGCCGAGATTGTGCCATTGCACTCCAACTCTGGGCAACAGAGCAAGACTCTGTCTCGGGGGAAAAAAAAGTGTCAGGAGACACTCCTTTTCCTTCTCCTTTGTCAGGAGAAGCACCAACAGACCTCTAAGAAATGCTCTCTAAGGCTGCAGTAGCAAATTATTTAGTATTGCAGGTGCCTTATTGGTAGAGGGCTATGAAGAGCTAAAACTGTATATGCAACACTTGTAAGATAAAAGGGATTTTAATAATCAAGATTTTCCTGAAGATTTGTTAGAAATAATGTCTTATTTCTGGTAACCTTTCCCTTTTTGTATTTATAACTCTACTAACCAAATTACCTATCAATAAACCATTACTATAATATTTTAAAACAACCTATGTTTATCAAGCTTACTCTGAGTGAGAGAATATACTAAATAAAGAATTTTTAATTAACTTTGGCTGGAAGCAAGGTTAATCCTTTAAAGGAGGAGGACAGGAGAACTTTAACCTATAAATTGATTAGGAAGACATGTTTCATGCTTATGTTCACATTGTATGAGTAGTGAAATGCCTTCATGTGACATAAACATTTTGTGATACTAGAACTATGCTTATTAAGAGAATCTGAGGTTGGGCGCAGTGGTTCACGCCTGTAATCCCAGCACTTTGGGAGGCCGTGGCAGGCAGATCACAAGGTCAGGAGTTCAAGACCAGCCTGACCAATGTGGTAATACCCCGTCTCTACTAAAAATACAAAAATTAGCCAGGTGTGGTGGCACACGCCTGTAATCCCAGCTACTCAGGAGGCTGAGGCAGAAGAATTGCTTGAACCTATGAGGTGGAGGTTGCAGTGAGCTGAGATCGTGCCATTGCACTCCAGCCTGGGCGACAGAGTGAGACTCTGTCTCAAAAAAAAAGAAAAAAAGAATCTGAAGATCTGAAGGTACAAAGGTAGAGGATTTCAGATTATCACTAACATGAACATTTAGAAAGCTACCATTTTGGTCATTTTCTGATTTTATCTTAGCCACCAAGCTGTTACTAACTATATATCAACAGTTCTCAATAATAGTTAAACCTAGTTTATCCATTAAGTCAAGAGATCACACAAACCTACTATTTAATCTCTATGACAAAATCTTTCTGACGTAAATCTGGTCTAGGTGTTCTTTTTCCCATGTGTTACTTTCTTTTTTGAGACAGAATCTCATTCCAGGCTGGAACGCAGTGGCACGATCTTGGCTCAACTGCAACCTCCACCTCTCAGGTTCAACTAATTCTCATGCCTCATTCTCCTGAGTAATTGGGATTATAGGCATGTACCACCACACCCAGCTCATTTTTGTATTTTTAGTAGAGACAGGGTTTCACCATGTTGGCCAGACTGGTCTTGAACTCCTGGCCTCAGGTGATCCACCCACCTCGGCCTCCCAAAATGCTGGGATTATAGGGGGGAACCAACACACCCAGCCTCCCATATGTCATTTTCTGTTTCTCACTTTGAAAGGGCTCCAGGGGTACTAGTTTATCCATATCAGTTGAGGAGTTTTGTTTTATCTAAAGTTTAATGTTTAGTTTATTAATCTTATTGATCTACTGAACAATTAACATTTCTCTAAGTGTTTTATCAGTACTTCTCATCTAATAAATCAGAACTTATACTTTCTTTTTTTTTTTTTTGAGATGGAGTCTCACTCTGTCACCCAGGCTGGAGTGCAGCGGCGCAATCTCAGCTCATTGCAACCTCTGCCTCCCAGGTTCAAGCAATTCTCCTGCCTCAGCCTCCTGTGTAGCCGGTGCTACAGGTTTACGCCACCACGCCCTGCTAATTTTTTGTTTTAGTAGAGATGGGGTTTCACCATGTTGGCCAGGTTAGTCTTGAACTCCTGACCTCAGGTGATCCGACCACCTTGGCCTCCCAAAGGACTGGGATTACAGGCGTGAGCCACCGTGCCTGGCCAGAATTTACACATTTAACAATTTAAATGTTCCCATTTAATTGTTAATTGGAACTTAGTCCACACTCTTATCAGAATCTGCAACTACCACCCTTTACAACTTAGACCCAGACTTATTTCCCTTTCTTCACTCTCATTTGCCTGCGCACCCATATCAGATTATTCTGTCTGAACCCACGGTGCAGTCTCTCTCCTCTGACTCCCTTTATAGAGCTTGTCCCTCGGTGTCCATGGAGGATTGGTTTCAAGACCTCCATGGATACCAAATTCATGATGCTCAAGTCCCTTATATAAAATGACATATTATCTTCCTGAAACTTTAAATTATCTCTAGATTACTTATAATACCTAATATGCCTACACATAACTTCATTTGCATAGATTCAACATAGTATTTGATGCATGCCAAATTCAGGTTTTGTTTCTTGGAATTTTGAGGCATTTTCCCCCTCAAATATGTCTGATCTGCAGTTGAATCCACAGATGTGGAACCCGGATACTTAGGGCCAACTGTATTGTTCACTCAGTTGGGAATGCCCATTCTCTCTCTTTTTTTTTTTTTTCTAGCGGCTCACTCTGTCACCCAGGCTGGAGTACAATGGCACAATCTCGGCTCACTGCAACCTCCGCCTCCCGGGTTCAAATGATTGTCCTGCCTCAGCCTTCTGAGTAGCTGGGATTACAGGCAGGCACCACCACTCCTGGCTAATTTTTGTATTTTTAGTAGAGCCAGGGTTTCACCATATTGGTCAGGCTGGTCTCAAACTCCTGACCTCAGTGGATCCACCTGCCCTTGCCTCCCAAAATGCTGGGATTACAGGCATGAGCTAACGTGCCCAGCCTGCCCTCTTAATATGCTCATTCTCTATGTCTAAGCCTCTTTCCTGCGTCTAAGTCGAATTAACTGCTCACCCATCTGTTACTATAGCACTTCTCACATTCTATATTTGTCTTTCATGATAGACTAACTCTTTGAGGGCAAAGGGCTATATACAGTAATATGCCCAAAGTTACAGCAAACAAGATTTAAATTTAAATACGAGCTAATCAAGTAGACTGGCTTGTGGTTTAAGACCCAGATTCTAATTTGGCCACTAGCCCAAGTCACCTAATTTTTTTTTTTTTT